TACTGTACTTTATTCTTTCCCTCTCTAAAATTTTCCTCCATATTACTAAGGCTTTATACCCAAAACAATCTAATATATTTTATTCAATTTCACAAGCAACCAAGAGAAAAATCTCAGCAAACAAGTTTCCACAATTTTTCTTTCCAAATGCATATTATAATACAAGATTCATTACGTAAGGTGAGGTGTTCAGTACTATTAGTGGTTTTTCACATCTTTTCAAATACGTTGTTATGTATAAATTTAATTATTTCAGTTCAGGGCTCATTCAGAAGAAATTATGATACATTTTAAAGCACAATTTAGCTTTCACGTTATTTTGTAGCGCTTGCTTGAATTATCATTTGTCATGGTGTGATAATTCTCATGTCATGTTGGTAACAGAATATATGCATAATTTCATATTTGATTTGAATGTGAAGTAGCAAGCATCTCATTGAGTATGATTCGTTATACTCATCCCTCTTTATTTTACGAATTTCAAGTAAATATTAGTATGCGGGACGGCGGTTACGGCGGTGGATGGATGTGCTATTGGACCAACAGATTCACGTCATGAAGTACTTTAATTTTAAAAACATTGTAAATTTAACAACATATTATTATTAGTTTTGTTTTTAGACTCAATTGTGAGTGACGTTAAATTTTTCATCTAGTCCTAATTCTATTGTCTGTTGGAACTAGTTTTTATTTATGTTTGATCAAAGATATGATTTCAAAATGTTCCACATATTTTTTTAAATTCAATTTATCTTTTGTTAGAGGTTATTCAATTTTTACTAAATTTGTCATTATATTAAAATTATTTGCTTCAAGCACTTTAATTAATTCATGTTTTGTAACGTTTCGGGTTGTCAGAACTCGGGGCGTTACAGATGTCACTAAACTTTCTCCCTACTTATAATCAGGTCACTGAATTTCAATTTAGAACAATCAACTTGTTAAAAAATTCATACCATTTCATCCTCAATTTATTAACATAACTACTATAATTAACTAATATGTCCATTAAAAGCGTCTACATCATCAAATTTATAAAACCAAAGGTCATCTAACTTTCGCTATAGTCGTAATCGATTCATCGAACTTTCACTCGAACTGCAATTGAATCAATAAACTTCAACTGGAAACAATTAAGTCATATATTATATATTCTCCGCCCGAACATATGTGATATGTTCTCTTATAAGTTTTGTTAATGTATCTACAACCCCAACTAGTGAAATATACCAAATTTAAAGACTCAAATCTATAATTTTTCACTCGAATTGAAATGGTGATAAAAGAATAAATAAATAATTGATCCAATACCCCAACAAAAAATCCAACGCCGAATATATATATATATATATATATATATATATATATATATATATTCAAAGAATCAAAATTCAACACACACTGCAAATATTATGTGGAGAGCATCTAAAGTACTCTAACTAACTTTTTATATTTAACATTTAATTTTATTAAAGTCTTTCAAATTTTAATGTAGAAAAATAATAACATAATTTAGAGAAAAGTAGTTAAAATAAAAGGCAGAAGAAATAATAAGGCCCTGTTTGACTCTCATTAATTTGAAAAAAATATATTACGGAATAGTGATTGACAGAGAATGTAGATTCAAAAAAGAAGGAAATTTTTTGATTTGCATATAATATTATTTTAATGAAAAATATGTGATTAAAAATAAATACTGTAAAAAAATAATGGGAAAAAATGTAAAGCAAAGAAAAACAGGGGCTAAATATTTTTCGATAATAGTAAAATTAAATGTTAAATATTAAAGAGTTTGTTGGAGTATTTAGCCCTTATTTGAGCAGCATTATCTAACTTCTAATAAAAAGGGAAGTGGGATATACTATTTATGCAATAGTAAATGAATCCAATTTTACTATGCATGATGTCATTTTTTATTTTGTTTATGTCAAATAAATGTTCTTCCACACATCATGCCACTAGTATTAAAAAAATAATAACAATTTTAATAAATATAAACTGTCATGAGAAAAAAAAACTCTTCGCATATGAGCTTTAAAAATAATAATAATAAACTATCCGCATAGTGCGGAGAGTTTGCCAACTCTCCATACAGTGCGAAATAAAAAAAAAAATTCTGCACAGTGTGGAGAGATGGCATTCTATGCTGACACTGTCTTTACAAAGTGTGGACTCTCCATACAGTAAGGAGTAAAAAAGAAAAAAAAACTTCGCACAGTGCGGAGAGTTGCCAAACACTCCGTATAGTGCGAAGTTTAAAAAAAGAATCTCTCCACACAGTGACTGTCACGTGCGTTGCACGAATTTTGCATTTATCGTATTTTTATTAGTGTATAAATTTTAGTTTTTTGGAAAGTTTTTGAAACAATATCTATAAATATTTCTATGATATAAGAAAATAATTGCAAATTATTTTTACAATTGTATAACAGTATTGTGTCATCTAGAAAAAAATATACTTGTATATGTCATACTTGAATAAGAAATATATGAGATTATACAAATTATTTTGCTTGTATTCTTTGATAGTGTTGATATAATTGAGTTGAATGTGAAGATTATATTTCTAAATTTTGTGTAATTCAATATTGAAAAATTGAAGATTGAGCACCATATTCATATACATTTATATTTTGTGCTTCATATATATTTAATATTTATTTTATGCTTATGTTGAAAAAAATAAAAATCTAAATTTTTTTTTTAAATTCAGTTTGATAAGTGAATGTACAAAAATCGATATATAAAAATACAGTAAGCTGCAAATATGGTAGACAACATATACGGTAAGTTACAAATACGGTAAGGTGAAAAATGCAGTAAGTTATTTGTAAATATGGTAGGTTGCAAATACGGTAAGTTGAAAATACAGTAGGCCGCATATACAGCAATGTGCAAATACGGTAAGATGCAATACGGTAAGTTCTTTGCTAATACAGTAGGCTGAAAATGTGGTAAGTTGCAAATACGATAGGTGGTATATACGGTAGGTGGTATATACGGTAAGCTGTATATACGGTAGGCCGTCTGCAAATACGGTAAGCTGCACATATGAATTTATAATTTGTTGTAAATGTATAAAATTTATTTAATATTGAATTTCTTAAGTATTAAATGTTGTAATTCAATATTATTTCCTTTTTTATAATTTTATTTCCAAGAATTCAAAAAAAAAAGTGGTTATGAAATTGCTAATTTTTATATGTGTTTTTTTGTTGAAAATAAGAATGATTTTTTTATATTATTTGTAAAAAAAAAAATTATTATAATTATATTAGCGTAATAAGAAGATTTATTATGCATTTTTTTTTTTTTGCATTTTGTGAAGAATTTTTTTTATGATGATTAACAAATATTCTTCCACATACGCATCATGTCAACAACATAAAAAAAATAATTTTTTTAGTATATATAAACTCCATGAGACAAAAAAAATCTCCGCATATGAGCAAAAAAAAAGATTCCTCAAAGTGAGGAAAGATGAAAAACTATCTCTTTGCACAGTGTGAAGAGAAAAACAAAAACTCTCGATAATTCTTTACCTGCAAATTCCAAGAGACATTTTCTCAAACAACTTTTGAGCAATGCATTGAACACTTTGGTTTTTTGGATTACAACCCGAAAGTATAATTTCATTGAAAATTGCATATCCCCTTCTAATGTCCAAGAGCTGTTATCAAGCAAGTGTAAAATATTGAATTTGGGTGGTACCCTGAAGCCTCCATTTGTGAAAACAATGCCATGGTACTATCAATATTCAATTTTTTGCACAACTTACATATTGTTTTCTTTTATGAATCACGAGAAAGTTCTTTTTCAACACCGTAAATATGATTTGCATGCTCAAAAATTGAGTTGTGACTGGAATTTCAAGAAGACATAATTGATTTTGAGCTATGTTTTGCGATTCTGTTTCGTTGTATATACGAAAAAATTTACAATCTTGAAATTTGACTTGTAAGTAAAGAATTTGAAAACAACTCTCTGCACTATGCGGAGAGTTTTTTCTCTCTGTACTGTGCGGAGAGGTGGTTTGTCACTTCTCCGCACTGTGCGAGAGTTTTTTTTACTTCGCACTATGCAAAGAGTTTGCCAACTCTCTACACATGATCCAACTCTCTCGCACTTTGTGGAGATGTTTTTTTTCTCCACACTTTTTTTTACCCTGCACATGATTCAACTCTCTACCCACTGTATGGAGAATTTTTTTCTCCGCACTGTGGAGAGTTTTGTTATGATGCGGACCAACTCTTTGCACTGTGCGAAGAGATTAACACTCTCGCACTATACGGAGAGTTTTTTTTTGCTCTCCGTACTGTGCGGAGAGTTAGTTTGTCATCTCTCCGCACTGTGCGGAGATTTTTTTATACACTAGGTATTGTGCGAAGAGTTTTCCAACTCTCCGCACATGGTTTAACTCTCTCCGCACTGTGCGGAGATTTTTTTTTTCTCTTCCACATTTTTTTATTTTTTACTCCGCACTTAGTTTAACTCTCTCCACACTCTGCGGAGAGTTTTTTTTTTCAATTTTACAATATTGAATTACAAAATTTAGAAATATAATCTTCACATTCAATTCAATCATATCAACACCATCAAAAAATGCAAGCAAAATAATTTTTATATTTCTTATTCAAGTATGAAATATAAAAGCATATTTTTTCTAGATAACATACGATTATGCTATTGTAAAAATAATTTACAAGTATTTTCCTATATCATGAAAATATTTTTAGATATTGTTTCAAAAACTTTTCCAAAAAACCTAAAATTCATATACTAATAAAAATACAATAAATACAAAACTCGTGCAACGCAAGTGATAGCGACTAGTTTTCAAAAAAATGTATTTCTGAATAGTATATTGATGAGAATGCTTTGTTAAAAAATAAGGAAAAATTTTAAATTTAGGTAAAATATTATTTTATTAAAAGAATGTGTTGTTAAAATGATATCAACGTCATTCTTCAATTTTTTTTATTTTTTTAAGAATCCGGTGCATTAGATTCTCTCCTGTGTTCTTTGAAAAAAATGGTGAGGAAACGCTCTAAAGGACCAATCCAATTACATCGTTCACAGGTTTTTCTATTCAATACCTAATAATAAAAAAACCCCTAATTTCGTCAAACGCCACAAATTTCCCAATTTCATAACCTAAAAAATTCACTTGTTCAGGTATTTTTTGTTGCAGGAATCATGCCAGAGGTCAATTCTCTCGTAAATGAATTCTTAATCAAGCTCAAAAAGCGGTACCGATTGTAGTTAATCAAAGCTGTAAAAGAACAATTACTCTTACACTTCCACTCACGTTCTTTGATTTTTACAGTAAAATTGAGGGGTCGAAGGCCACGGCGAAGTTAACAGCGGAAGTGCTCCGGTCGTTCATATCGCAGAAAAGACTGCCCCACACTAACCAAGCGGACGCTCTCATTGAGGCCGTTAAAGCTGTCGGAGAGGAGCTCATAGACGCCAATCCTGTGGGTAAGCAACTCTTTTATCTGTATCTTCAAAAAAGTTTTAATTTGATAAATCATTTTAATATTAATGCTTGCATATATACACTCGGATACAGTGTTTTCCCTAAGTTTGTTCATTCGGCTTAGTGAATAATTCTGACTGCAGTGCGTGGGTGGGTGCTTAAGTAGTTTCAGTTAGGAATTATGTGACTAAATTTCCACCAATATTGAACTAGAGAGAGAATTAAATTGAATCCGATGTGTATTAGGAAAATGAACTCAATTAGTTACAAGAGTTCCAACTGTCTATATAAATACAGCAACAAAATTACAGGTGTACTAGTAAAAATAATTACAGCTGTACAGGTAATAGCTCTATTACTTCCCCTCAAGGTGGCCGATGAATGTTGCGAGTGGCCATCTTGGATAGTAGAGGAAATAAGGAAGCAGCGGGTAATGCCTTAGTAGAAACATCTTCAAACTGATATTGAGTGCGAATAGGGAGAAGTTTGATGAAGCCTTTTGCGATCTTATCCCGTACAAAGTGGCAATCGATTTCGATATGCTTCGTACGCTCATGGAATGTGGGATCTGTGGCTATGTGAAATGCATCCTAATTATCACAGATTAGCAAAGCTGGTCCAGGAGCTGAAACATGGAAATTTGCCGGTAGTTGATGAAGCCAAATTATTTCACTAGCTGTTGAAGCAAGGGCGTGATACTCTGCCTCTGCAGATGAGTGCGAAATGGTAGACTGTTGGATTTTATACGCAATATTAAGGAGATGAAAAAGAAAATCACAAGAATTTACGTGGTTCGGCGTCTTTATTTAGTAGTGAATAATAGGGTTAAAACATATTATTTATACTAACCCTAGTCCGGGTCATATAAGACTTTAAGGCCCGTACAGGAAATACCCCTGTACCGTACCGCGGGGGCGTTGCCCCCGCACCCCCAACTCATTCAGCGTCCTTAACAATCAAATAGTGAATTAAACTTGCATAAGGTCACTCCACTCCATTCTATTTGATGTGCTCCGCTCCTCTCATTCCATTCAGCTCCGCACCCCCCCCTGCATCAGCCCATTTGATCAAGACCTGTATTCCACTCTATATGAGTCGCTTGTACAACATAGACCGTTCTTGCCTTTCCAAGAAATATGCAAAAACCTGTTACGGATTTACGGGAGTCTAGACAAGAGCCCCAGTCAGCATTAGGGAAGTCTTTGAGTTGGAATGATGATGAAGAGGAGACAAATAAACTTGTCCAACAGTTGCTTTCAAATATCGAAGGAGATGATGTGCTACATCTAGATGAGGTTGTCAAGGAGCAGATACAAACTGACTGAGTTCGTGCATTGCGAATGTGATGTCTGGCCGAGATATGGTGAGGTACAAGAAGCAACCAACTAACCTCCTATAAGAAGAGGCATCAACAAGAGGATCACCTTCAAATGAGCTGAGTTTAGCCTTTGGATCCATAGGCAAAGAGGAAGGCTTGCAAGCAAGAAAACCATAATCTTCAAGCAGCTATAAAGTGTAATAGTGCTGAGATAAAAACAGCCCCTTTGTAGACTTGGCAATTTCCAAACCCAGAAAATATTTTAAAGAACCAAGGTCTTTGAGCTTCAATTGGCTGTGGAGAAACTGTTATAATCCCTCAATGGCATTCAAGTCAGAGACACTAATGATAATATCATCAACATACACTAGTAAAGCAACAAAGGAAGAATTGCTACCCTTTGTGAAAAGAGAATAATCTGATTTGGATTGACTGAAACCATAAAGAACAAGAGCTTGGGAAAGTTTTGAGAACCATTGTCTTAAGGCTTGTTTTAAACCATAAATCGACTTATGCAACAGGCAAACAAGTTTCTCCCCTTGATTATCAATCTGCTCTTGTTTCAAATAGCCCAAAGGAAGTTTAATCACCATTCAAAATGCATTATTGATGTCAAGTTGAATGAGGCCAACCATTTACAGCAACAATGACAAGAAGTAGTTTAATAGTTACTAACTTTGCAACATGAGAAAAGGTTTCAATAAAATCCAAGCCTTCTTGTTGCGTGTGTCCTTTAACCACCAAACAAGCTTTGTATCGCTCAATGGTACCGTCGGAATTATATTTTATTTTGTAAATCCATTTGCAACCGATAAAATGCTTTCCCTTTGGCAGTGACTGAATAGACTCATTGTTATTTGATTCCATAGCTTCCAACTCAGTAGACATGGCATCCTTCCAATGTTGGAATTTTACAGCATGGTGAAAAAATTGTGGTTCATAGTTGGAAGAGCATCTAGGAGGTAAGCACAATGAGAAGAAGAAAGGGTGACATAGGAAATGTATTTTTCCAAGGGATACGGGGACGTAGAGTCGGTTTGAGATGTATGGGACAGCTAGTTACAGTATTAATCTCGCAAATAAGAGGGAGGTTTAGTGACCCTGGAAGTCTTCTTAACAGTTGAAGCTATGTTAGGAGCAGATACATTATGATCATTAATGGGACTTGGGCTGGAGGTAGTAGCTTCAGAAGTAGGTAAGTCACAAGATGTTATAGGTAAAACCAAGTATGGAAATGGATCCACAATGTCTGTGGGGTGAGGAATCGATTGAAAGGGAAACAAGTTCTTATGGAAAATTACATCACAAGAAACAAAGAAAGTTTTTGAGGCAATGTCATAAAGGGTATACCCTTAGATACCCAACAAATATACATGCAATAGCCCGATGATGAAATTTCGTTCACGAAAGGGCAATGTGGGAGCAAAATGTAGGTAGCCAAACACCTGTTTGGCTTGAGGTAGTTATAATCAACAAGCAGATTATAAAGACTTTGGTAAGGTGTCCCATGTTACAGGTGTTGGAGTCTTGTTAATCAAGTAGGCCGCAGTCAAAATACACTCCCTCCAAAACTTAATAGGGACATGAGATTGAATGAAACGTGCTTGAGCCACATTGAGCGGGTGTTGATGTTTCCTTTTCAACACCGAATTTTGTTCATGTTGTTCAACACGAAAATTGGTGCAATATCCCTTTGGCATCGAAGAAATCTGTGTACTGGAGTTCAGGCTCTTTATCAGACCTGAATCTCTTAATGACCTTGCTAAATTGAGTTTCAATGAGGGAGAAAAACTTAGGTATGACGAAACTTACATCTGACTTCTGTTTCATTAGATTAACCCATGTAAACTTAGTGCAATCATCCACCAAAGTCAGAAAATACTGGTAATGTGTTGGTATGTGATATGGACTCCATGTGTCACAATGGACTAAATTACCCATGCCAATCGTCTTCAAATTGGGCATTTCCTGAACAACACAATAATCTATAAGAAATCTGACATGAACAGGAGTTCCTGGTTAAAAAGCTCACAGAGAGCAAATTAAATTGGAATTGTGGAAAGGACATCGTGTAGCATCAATGATGGTATGAGTTTGATAGATCCAGAGAATTGAATAGGAATACGATTATTATTGAGAAGGGTCACAAAGGAGTTTGGAATGGGAACCATGGTTCGAAACAAAAACTAATCAAAGCATATGTGACTTGTAGCACCCGAGTCTACTATCCAGTATCTAGGAGAATGGAGAATTGGCTAAAGGGAAACAGATAAGCTGGTACCTGATGTGTGTGTAGCTGTCATATCAGTTTCAGTACTAGCCTTGGCCGAAGTCATATGAGAATTCGCATAGCCAACAAATGTTGATATTGGTTTGGATTCAAGGTTTGAACAAAGTCGCCAACATTCCCTTGATGATCAGCAGAAGAATTTGAAGCCTGATTTGCTGTGGCATGTGACCTAGCTTGAAGATTTAGGCCTTTGCTTTGATTTGTAGCTGGGAGGATAACCATGAATTTTGTAGCATTTATCTACGGCATGCCCATTAAAAATACAATAGGCGTAAAGTGAACATTCCTTCTTCTGTCCCGTGCCAGAATATTGACTGTTGTTAGATTGGTTACCCTCTGTTTTTATAGAAAAAGCCATGGGATTATTGCTGACAGAAGTTCCAGTTATGGTATTTACATTTCTCTGATGTCCCTCTTGAGAAATGAGTGCAAAAACCTTATTGATAGGTGGAATAGGCTCCACGAGTAATAGTTGGCTACGAGTTTGAGTAATTGAATCATGGAATCCCATTAAGAAAGACATAACATACTCGTCTGATAGTGATCAGCTAGAGCCTTGGTACCTCCATAAGTGCACTTTCCACCTGATCAAACTGGCCTTTGGTTACTAAGTTCCTCCCAAATAGTCTTCAACTTAGTAAAATAGGCACCAACAGTGAGTTGAGCTTGAGTAAGATTCATAAATTCACCCCTTAACTGAAAATGCATGGCCCATTTCTGTGCTGGAATCTCTCTTTGAGATCTTCCCGGATTTCTTGAGTAGAAGTAGCATATATAAGACTAGTCGATATCTCCTTAGATACGGAGCTAAGGATCCACGAAATAACAATGTTGTTATTGCGAGTCCATGGGTTAAGGAGAGCATCATTACCTTTTAGTTTTGGGATAGATTCATTGTTAAAACCTAGCTTTTTCTTTACCGACATGGCTATCACCATAGCTCTGCTCCAAGATGCATAATTGTCACTGGTCAGCTGTTGTGAAACCAGGACAAGACTTGGACTGTCTAAATGATGGAGATAGTCAAGACTTGAACTATCATCAATGGCGGAATTGTTCACCAACGTATAATAATTGCTCACCAACGAAGAAGAATTGTCCAATTGCATCAATGGATTTGTCGCTATGGATTTTCAAAAACAAGGACTGAAGCACAGGTAACAAATCTCGATTGATGAAGATGATTGGAACCTGTGTTGCTCGGACTCTTTATTCCGACCGGGTATGAAATATGGGGCGGACACGGAGCTGTTCGACCGGACATGGCAAGGTTTTCCCTTTTTCTTCTTTCTTCTTTTTTTTTTCTCCCTTCTTTCTCGTTTCCGCTCTCCGAAGTCTCAGGCGGCTCAACCGGAGGAGGCGAAGTGGTTGCAGTAGGTAGAGCCTCTGGAGCAGAGAGAAGGGAGAGAGTCGAAGAGAGAGAGAGCGAATGGAAAATAATGACCAAGGTTAATAATTGGACTTTTATTGGGCTTCTAGGTTAATAATGGACTTTTAATTCTATGCATATAGACCTGTATTTATGACTTCATTTAGCCCATTTATTTTTATTTATTGAAATAATTATCAAAAAACAATTAAAATATGTTAAAAAAATCTTAAACTTAATATTAATTTTTGAAAGCATATATTATAACAAAAACTTATTATTTTAGTATAAATTTTAGATAGTTTTAGGTGACGTTCTATCATTTAACAATTTGTCACATAATTATTATTTCACTTTTTTCATACAAATTTCTTCAAGAAAAAAATTGTTTGAAAAATGTATCCACGTACCGTGTCCAAAATTTGTACTATTTTTAGTCATGTTTCCATATCCTATATTTTAGAAAATAAAAGATCCAAGATTTAGATACTTACTCGTACTCGAGTCCGAGCATCATAGATTGGAACCAAGTATCAAGCTCGTGAGAGGAAGAATTCGGAAGCGGAAAGCTCTGATACCATATTGAACTAGAGAGAGAATTAAAATGAATCCGATGTGTATTAGGAAAATGAACTCAATTGGTTACAAGAGATTCAACTGTCTATATAAATACAGCAACAGAATTACAACTGTACAGGTAAAATAGCCCTATTAGACATTAACTAAAACGAATTTATTTGAAGTTACATCCGATTGTACAAATTTTAAAATGGCATACCAAATGAGTTGATTTTGTGTATAAGTTGAGTCGTATATATCAAAAATTGTAGGAATTTCATTGCATAGGCCATGTGATGACCACTAAGTGGAATTGAATAAGACTAAAGAGGCTACCGGACATAACCAACAATCTGAAATGAAGCATGTTTGAAGCAGAATTCCATGGTATTGTGACCAATGTTTAGTGTATAAGCTATCACAAAGGCTTGACTAAATATGAATAACTTTGGGAACAAGCAGAAATTATGTTACAACAACCAAATAACCCGAATTCCAGAATGCTTCATTGTTTAAATAGTTCTTACTATTTTACACATATACCTCATGTCTGAGACGCATTTTATTTTCATTTATTTTACAATTATCCTATCAAGGATCATTGACGACGAATTCTGTTAAATATTATGGGTCAATTATTTGGAGGTTACGACATGAAGAATCCAAAAGTAGTTTCTCTTGACTGAAGCCACTTGAGCTCACTTGTAAAAGACTGTAAGAAAGCGCACACATTATTGTAGTTTGGGGATTATTCTTAAGCTATATTCAACTGTTAAAACATCAACTAATTCCCTTTAGCTTCTCTGTTCTTTCTGCTTTACTTTCTGGATAATGTAGCATGACTATGATTTCAGAGCTAGCTGTCGGTAATATCGTGAGACGTGTTCTACATATCATACGAGAAGAAGATCTTTCTCTCACTACAGCTGCTGTAGGTGGATTAAGTTTGTCAGCAGAAAGTGACAATGAAGATGATGTGGATCAAGATGATCATCCAGCCCTTTCAGCTACTGCTGTAGCAGCTGCTGCTAGAAGCACTCTGAGACCACCTTCGTTGCAGACTCTTCTTGAGGACATGCCTCACTCAACCGCTGTGCCTCAGACATCTTCTTCTGGGGGTGATTCTGAAGGAAAAAGCAAATGTATGCTCTTAGCATTTATCATTTAGAATCTTCTTCAATCAGTTCCTAAAACTGTGACTAATACTTGGAGTGTTTCATTGTCGTAGGATTTGAGCATTAGTTTTTTCCTCATAAATGTGGCTAATGGTGGTTGAGGATGCATTCTTCGTCGTTCATTCAGTTTGATGTAGCATGAAAACAAATCATTTAGCATGTTGATTTTTAATCTCTTATGTGTTGATGATTATTGCTCTATTTCCTTCAGCTGCTGATAAGAATTTGAAGACTCGGAAGCTCAAGCATAATGTCATCGAGGCAGTTAATGAACTCATTCAAGACATTTCTACTTGCCATGAACTAATTGCTGAACAGGCAGTTGAGCATATACACCAAAAGTATGTTCCAAGAAACTTTATCAGAATTATTACACATTCGTGTAAATTTCTTGTCTGCTTTTTTTGAATGTCTTCAAGGATTTTGTAATAATTTGTTGTGCTTGTGTCATTGGTTTTAAAGTAATCACTGCTTATGACATCTCAAAATTATGCCTTTGCTTGGCTGTGGCAATCAAGTCAAAACTGTGATCTTGTTATATTGTTTTATATTGAAATTTAGTTCTAGCATTTTTACTAGCATACATAAAAGGTTAAGTTCTTGACACTCAAGTGAGTTTGAGTTGGAAGTTTGCTCACATTTAGGTTGTTATTATCAGATGATACCAAAGTAGCGTTGTGTATTTAATCCGGGGTTTTAATTTGTTGTGGTGGATTGAGGGAGCATCCTTTGGGAAGGTCACTCTTTGCCTCCTAAGTGTTCTTTTCGGACAAGTAGATTTTTACTCTCAGCTCATTATCTGGATTTAACAAGCTTGAATTCTTAATTTTAATTTAATAAACAACTCATTAAGCCTCATTTACGTGATAAGTACATTTCTAGTCCTTTTAAAACTTCTGATTTGAACGTGATATTGATTTTGGAAATTATAACTATAGACAATTATACTATTGTATTCAATTCTGAATGTGATGTTGAGGCTTCTTTGTTTGCCTTACTATGAGGCTGGCATGAATCCGGATTTTATAATGGCCCTGGTTGACTTCTAGATTTGCACTTTGCATCGTTCTGTGATATTCTAGTGAATGCAGTAAGTAATGATATCATATATCCTGTTGATGTAATAAGAATCAATTTCGTAACATGGCTATATAAGTAACCTTGATGTTGACAATATCTTTCTTTACATGGAGCCTGAGTGTAACATTCTGGGCAAAATATTTTGTTGATACCTTTTTAACCTTTGAATAGTCCCATATGAAATATGTGTTTATCAATTGCGTTACATAACCTCTACTCCGTCTTCAACACATCCCATTTCAATACTTTCATATGATAAACTGAATTAGACTGGTAGAGATGGTCAAGAGGTAGTCACATATGCTGGGGAAATCAATTGACGGTGTAGTCAAGTGATATTTTTCAACTGAACCACAAAGTGTCAGGTTTCTCCCTTTTACTGAAGGTTAAGTTTTCACAAACTCCCTTTTTCAAAGTTTTAGAGTATCCCAATATTTTCATAAACCTTTTATATTTGCTGTTGACCGAGCTCGTCTAAAGTAAATTATAGATAAATGTGGTATATAGACACATTACATGTACGAGTTGTATGGAAAGTAAACGAACAATTCTCGGTGTACAAAATTGCTTTCATAGAAGAAAACTAGAAGCCTCACATGCCTCGGCCTCACGAGGGATCCAATGTAATAAAAAATGACAAAAAAAATTCCGACCCCACCTCCATTGTGAGACCTCTGTAAGAGGTCTATGAAGTCTGGTCTGTACACCTCGCATGCCTCTAAGTAAACATGCTGGATGATTATTTATATCAATATTATTAAACACATATTTGTGATTGATTAAGGAACATAATAATTGATTAGCTAATTTTAATAAGGTAAGTTTGGGATTATTTATTTTTCCCAACTGTATATGTGCCGCTTCCTTCCTAATAATTGGTGAAGTAGCTAGGCATTGAAAGAGTGATTTTTAGGGTTGATTGTTGTATGTTGCATCTCGGAGCTATCTTACCATCTAGCTGTTGTTTTCCTATATCAGGTAGTTTTTCAATTTTCTGGGATCCATGTTGGAGAGGGGCATATAATGTATATATGGGAAGAGTTAATATCCTACTAGGGGTTGACATCATGAATCGGTTTTGTCATTTCATTCTCTTCTTTTTATCCCTTCCACGTATTGCTTTTCTAGCAAGCAGAACGGGAAAACGGGGAAAGAGCTCTCTAAACTTATTATCATTTGGTGCCGTCATATGCCGTTAAGATATGTTCTTATTTCAAATTTGAGTCATTCTAGCATGCAACATATCTATTTTAACATTTACATAGGTGTTGCATTGATCTTGGGTGTATTTTGTCCTTTAATGACCCATACTTGGTATCGTAACAGCATTGTTAATTTGGTCTAGAATTTCACTTTTAACTTGATTGGTATCCTATTTCATCCAAACTCTTGTGTACTCCAACCTGTTTCCACCTTATGTGATACGTATACTCAAGTTATGATTCTCTATAGTTGACTTGAAATACTTAATATAATTACTTTTCTGCCTCGTGCTTCTTTATTATGACACAGTTATCATCTGTATTCCTATACTTTTATGTTATTTAAAACTTGTCTTCAACATGTCCAATCACATGTAGACAGAATACATTTTCTCCATCAATACCTAACATGTGAACATTTTTTATATAATTAGGTAGTGGCAAGACTTGAACAAGGACCTTTGGGTGCTCCGATACCATATTGAACCACTTGATCTTTAAGCTTTTGAAGAGTTCACTAGCATATCATTTAAATCTTACCTTCAACTATCTTAGTTCCCTATAAGCTAAAAATTTTGATTCCACAGTGATCTTCCAAAGTTTAACTAACTATTTACCCCTTAAGAAGTCTTATAAACTAGAACAATGTCATCGGCGTAATACATAGACCAAGGACCTCATCTTGGATATGTCTTGTAAGCTCTTTAATAAGCAAAAAAGATAAGGACTCACAGTAAAACCTTGATACCATATAGCAATTAGAAGCCGCACTAGTTCTTGTAAACTTAATGTATACAATAAAGCATCTGTGGGACTAAGAATACCTGCCTTTCTTCTATTATTCCATAACTGTCTGTTTCTGCATTTTTTGGTATATGATGTACTTATTCAAACCAATAAAACTATCTGATCGTGGCTATTGCACAGTGAGGTTATCTTGACTTTAGGAAGCTCAAGAACAGTAACAGAATTCCTATGCGCTGCGAAGGAGAAAAAGAGATCATTCAGAGTTTTTGTTGCGGAGGGAGCGCCAAGGTACTGTATGTACTTGGTTATATTGTGGCAAAGGGAGTTTGTTTAGGTTACACATATTATGGAAGATTTTCCTCTTCTCATACCATTTCTTCTTCATGTTGCTTGGTTCGTATTAGATATCAGGGACATGCTCTCGCAAAAGAACTGGCTGCAAGGGGACTACAGACTACAATTATTACTGATTCTGCAGTTTTTGCAATGATTTCCCGAGTCAACATGGTATGCGACTATTGCAGCATTTTTCATTTCAACTTTTTGAAATTTTCTAAACTAATTTTGTCGTTGACCCGATATTCCCATCTAAAGGTTATTGTTGGCGCACATGCTGTAATGGCCAATGGTGGGGTTATAGCTCCAGTGGGGATGAATATGGTGGCCCTAGCAGCTCAAAGGCATGCTGTCCCTTTTGTCGTACTCGCTGGCGTTCACAAGGTATTTCGGCATCATAGACTCTAACCTCCGAACTTTTGAGGTGCATAACTTGAAGCCAATCATATTGATTGTTCCGTGAAAGAAATAAAGGTCTTGGAACAGTATTGGATTGCTAGAAATTGCCATTAAATAGAATGTGGCTACTGTATTCTTACCTGATGTTGTTCTTGTGCTAGGAGGATCCTTTGTTAAATTTTCAGTTTACATGAGAATATAAGACTTTGAGCTCTAAACTAGTAAAAACTAAATTTTAATTTTTAAAAAAAATTCCTAAATTTGAATTAAGTAAAACTTGAATATGTAGGAAGATGTGTTACAGTAGCAAACTAATCTCTACTGAATGTTCGTATAGCCTTCTCTTGATATCCAGATTCAGCTATCATATGTATAGTTTGTGGTTTTCTGAATTCCGTCTTTGTGGTTCCTTTTTCTACAACCTCTTGTGCTAGTCTGCTTACTAATTGTTCATCTGCCCTGCACAATCTTTTAAACTATATGCATCTTTGGTTAAGGATATTATTCATTATGTTGTTACTGGATAATCAATCTGTAACTTTTTATTATTGTGAGAAATATAATTTTGTTAATCGTGATATAAAATACAGACATCAAGAGAAGGAATGCTCTCAAAATATAAGAAAATGAGTTAAAAAATATAATCAAGAATATTCACTTTCTTCCAATCAGCACGTAAAATAAAGGGAATTCTTTAAACTTCTCGATGTATAAGCCACAAGAATGGGAGGGCCTTGCTCTTTCCTGTAATCTCTCTTTTTTGTTCAAACTACCCAAAAAAAGTCAACACCACAATTCTCCGTATTTCACCAACTTCTGTGAGCTAAAACCAACAGTTTTTTTTTTTTTTTTTTTGATATCCCAGTGCACCATTCAGCATAACCCATTCTAAATCTTCTTCTCTTAATAAGCTGCAATGTAAAAATCTAGCAACATGATGGTGTAACAATAAAGTGATCAATACTTAGAAAGAGGATAGGACATAACAGGTATTAATCCTCCTATGGGAAACCAGCCAAGAGAGCACCATACTCGAGTAAGGCATGCAAGATTTCTGATTGAGAGTAGTCCCAAGAATACAAAACTCGGCATTAGCTCTTTCATTGCCCTTTTGTGTATGGTAAATGTACTGAATAGGGAATTAAAATGATTGTTCCCTATATTTGTCCCTGTATAATATAATACCTCTTTAGTTTTAACAAGCAGTTTTGCCATGCTATGTCATGCTTCTCTTTAATCAGGTAGAAGTTACAGTTGCAATTGAGCAAATGTTGGCTTGGGGAAATATTTTGTTCATTTTTAATTAAAATTGTCATAATATGTCGTTAACCAAATGACTTAATAGCTGTTTTATTTACTTTATAATTATGATTGCAGTACTCTTAAAGGAATTTCAAGTGCCATTTTATATCAGTGAAAAGGAGAGCAATTTGTCTACAAGAGAATGAAGAATCCTGTGAAATTGTAATTTGAGATGATGGTTTAGGCCTCCAGCAATAATATGTTTGCGGTTTCTTGATCGAAACATACAAGTGAATATATGTTGTAGGTTGTATCAAAAAATTATTTTGAAGTTTGACATGCACTGTTATGTTACCTATCATTTTCAGTAAGTGCAGACGGTGTCTGAGTTCTAAATTAACTCTCTACCGATGTTGATGTTGACAACTGTATTGACACACTACTTGTCCAGTGTCTCAAGCGTCCTTAGCATCACTGAATATTGTGTGCATCTCTAGATTCTCAGGGTAATACATTATTTAATTCTATCTGCTTTATCAGAACCTTTCTTCAATTATGCAGTTGTGTCCTCTGTACCCACATAACCCAGAGGTCTTACTGAATGAGCTGAAATCCCCATCCGAGCTGCTGGACTTTGGAGAATTTTCAGATTGTTTGGATTTTGGATGTCGCTCTGGTTCACCTCTCCTTCATGTTGTTAATCCTGCATTTGATTATGTTCCACCGAATCTCGTTAGCTTATTTATTACAGACACGTAAGTTTACATCACCAAGAAATATAGATTACCTAGAGAAGATGCCGACTCTTGAATGCATTGCTTCTCATTATTGCAGAGGTGGGCACAATCCTTCATACATGTACCGACTCCTTGCTGATTATTACTCTGCCGATGATTTAGTAGTGCGACGGAGATCGGCCTCTTGAAATGCAGTTAACTACATCTGTTTATTAAACATGTTGGTAAAAGTCTTTCTCCTATACCAATTATGTCAAAAACCAAACTACCTGAATTTCCATGCTCTGAAATGAAAAAAAGAGATTAAATGTTTTATACGAATATTAAAAATCAGCAATCAGGCTTTCATATAAATTAAATTGCTCAACTAGCAGAAGCCAATCAGTTTCGAAACTCAGCAATCATCGTTATGTATTTCTGGAGCCCAAATTACATTCTTCCATTATGTATATTCCTAGTAATAAGTTTTACCTAAATTGTGCGATGTTTTTTCTCCTCTTATATTCTTCTTTTCTATTTAAGTTTCCTGATAATCATCTTGATCGAGTTGTACAGCTCTTCATAGGGACATTGCTTGATTCTTTTTTCTTTTCTTTGAATAGGGTTTTGAGCTTGTGGTAGTAGATGCCTGTCAGAAGCTGCGGTTATGGATAAGAACATGTCCCGTATAAAGAGAAAATGGATGGAGGTTTTTTATCCTTTTGATTGCGATGAAGTGCATTGTTGAAACAAAATCAGTCTTTACATTTTTATATGTAGTTGAATTCTATAATGATGGTGAAATAGTGTCCTTCATGCACAAAATTGTCCAGAGTTGTATTGGCATATGAAATTTTGGAATCATTTTGCATTGTCGAAAAACTTGTGTAGGATGTTTGGTTGTTAAGTTTCTATATTTGCATATGGAAAGATATTATTTTCCCCAGCTTTTGGTGAAATCTTGCTGAAAGTTAATTGCAGACGGCTTCAATTAGAAAGAGTCAACTGTATTATTTAGCAAGGTGAAAGGACACTCGCAAAAATAGAAAAAAAGTAGTATGATCCATCTTGTTTGATTATTTTTATTTTTTCCCCAATCATCTTTGCAGGAAAGTAGATTTTTCAGAACTAATAATTTGTTTCTAGCAGCCAATCGATCAGGATAAAACCGGTTACTGCTTTGAAGATAGGATTGCAATACCCAATTTTGTAATTCTTTTACCCCTTTTCTGGGCGTCGATCCGGGCTCGGGGTGGTCTCCGGAGTACTGGTGAAGTGTGTGGTCACAGGACCTCGGAGTTACTCTTCTATTTTTGACACGCCTTCTCTTAGCAAATGTGATATGTTGGCATTTTCTCATAGAATAATGATATTTATCAGCTATTGCAGTAGTGATTTTATGTAACTTGTCATTTAAGTCATTAATTCCTGTATTTTGTTGTCTCAAATAGCAAACTAATATTTCAAATAACAAATGCTACATAAGGTGACTACTATCATAGTAGCTGACTATGAATAACATTACTGTTTTTCATATATTGGGTGTCAAAAATGCATTGGAGAAATGATCAATCTTGACTCAAGGTCATACTAGAATAAGCAAATAGCAAAGGAGAATATAGCCAGTCTTATTGACAACTTTTCCTGTGTGTCACCCTGTTGGATATTGTCCGGCTAGCCTACAATGCCATGCCGAGTAACGCTTTTGGATGCATCAATTTAACTTCGGCCAGGTCAATGCCGTCCAGGGGTTATTTGGCGTGTAGGGGCTCAATGTCATTACTCTCACAATCCGGATCACTCAATTCGGGTTTGAATTCCTACTAGCTATCAAGCTTCAAGTCCCATTACTTTTTGGTTGGACCAGTGGCTGAACCCAAGAACATCAAAACCACCCCACTTCCTCAAAAACTCACACTGCCATCCCTATACTACGTGAACCTCACCGGAGTCAGCACTGGCAAGGGCCAGGTGATGTAGTATAAATAACAAAGAAAGAAGAAGGGGGAAGTGAGGAAAAGAGAAGAGAGGAACCGGGGAAGAACACAGAGAGGAGAAACGGGGCTGTAGCCAAACTTTTATTCAATCAAATTCATCATCCCAAAATTACAAATCAAGATAGGTTTAAATAATAAAAACCTAGAAATATAGGGCCAAGCCCATTATTTAAGTCCTAACTAAAATACGTAAACTTAAATAAAAGTCCAACTGAAATAATAATAAAAGTCTAACTAAAATACTGAAACAATAATAAAAGTCCGACTATAATGATGTCCTCATCAACTCTCCCGGGGTGGGAGAAAACTCGACCCTGTCAAGTGGATATATCATCGTAGACTCTCGTCAATCTCCCAACCATAAGTTGAGTGGTTGGGCAAGTTTCTTCCGGCGTCTGTAGAAATGCGTCAGTGGCGGTCTGAACCTGGTGTTCTCATCAACGCCCCTCGGGTGGACGGGAGGCGATCTGGGCCAAGGAAGATCCTGCTAACTCCGATAAAGCTCTAGCAAATCTGGATCCAAATGCTGTAGTGTCTCCCTGGAGATCCATGCACAATCAGAATCTGGTCGACCAACCCAACGAACAAGGAAGCGTTGAACCTCTCCATCATTAGTGAACACAGTTTCTTCATCTAAAATAGCATCAATTTTATCTGTGTGTGCTGTGAGAGGTGGTAGTGGGTTAGAGGGGGCCAAAGAATTAGGATTAAGGTCCACAAAAGGAGGTAACAGGGGATCATCTGAGGGAATGAAATGGCCTTTATAAGCTACAAGGTCTTCAACATTGAAAGTATGGTGGTAACCAATATGGGATGGAATGTCGACAATATATGCATTTGGATCAACTTGCTTTAAAATTTTAAAAGGACCAGCACTACGAGCTTGCAATTTGGAGGCGGGTCCATGTAGACGCCGCTCTGATCTAATTCGAACCATAACGTAATCCCCAACATTAAACTCAATATGTCGTTTATGTAAATCAACTTGTAGTTTATAATTTGCATTACTAGCTTCAAGTTGTTTATTGATCTCAATGTGCAAATCACGAAGGTGTTGTGCAAATGCTTCGGCTGATACTGACACTCTAGCCTGTGGGGACATAGGGATGAGATCTAATGGTTTCCTAGGCTTGTATCCGTGAACGGCTTCAAATTGACTCATACCTAATGAACGATTTACGGAGCTATTATACGCGATTTGAGCGACTGGAAGGATTAAATCCCAATTTCGAAGGTTCTTCCAGACCAGACAACGTAATAAGTTACCAAGACTCCGATTAACAACTTCGGTCTGACCGTCAGTTTGAGGGTGGTAGGCTGTAGAAAATTTTAATTTGGTACCCATCTTATGCCACAAAGTCCTCCAAAAATGGCTAGTGAAGCGAACGTCCCTATCGGACACGATGGTCTTGGGAAGTCCATACAGTTTGACAATCTCGTTAAAGAATAACATGGCAACCTTGGATGCATCCGATGTTTTGCTACAGGGGATAAAGTGAGCCATTTTCGAGAAACGATCGACAACCACGAAAATAGAATCATGCTTCTTTGGGGTGCGTGGCAGTCCTAGCACAAAATCCATACTAACGTCTTGTCAAGGACAATTGGGGACGGGGAGAGGAGTGTATAGGCCTGTGTTCTGCTTCTTCTGTTTGGCCAATTGACAAGTGTTACATGCACTAACAATTTTAGCCACATCTCTCTTTAAACTAGGCCAATAGAATTGGCATTCAACCTCCTCAATGGTCTTATCACGCCCAAAGTGACCGGCTAACCCTCCCGCGTGAACTTCCCACACTATAAAATCTCGCACTGAAGTTCGAGGGATGCACAATTTATTGGCTCGAAAGAGATAACCCTTCTCAAGTCGAAAGCCATCTGTGCTGTTTGATTGTCCTCCTTGCAAATCGAGAAAGATATCCTTAAAATCTGGGCATGCCTCGTAATCCTCCTTAAGCCTTTCAAAACCAATGATTTTGACACTCATGATCGACAAAAGGGAGACACGACGACTCAACGCGTCAGCTGCTTGGTTCTCCACGCCCTTCTTGTGCTTTAAAACAAATGAATAGACTTGCAAATATTCAACCCAACGTCCATGCCTAGAACTTAATCTCTTCTGAGAGTTGAGGTAACGGAGGGCTTCGTGGTCCGAATAAAGGACAAATTCTTGGGGCAACAAGTAATGGCGCCAATAGCGCAAAGCCTGGACCACCGCATACAGTTCCTTATCATACGTTGAATATCGTCATTTGGCCTCATTTAACTTTTCACTGAAATAGTCGACAGGGTGACGATCCTGACTTGAGACTCCGCCTATACCTACCCCAGAAGCGTCACATTCAACTTCAAAGACTTTGGAAAAATCGGGAAGACGCATGACAGGAGCTTCTGTCATTCGCTCCTTGATTAACTTAAAGGCCTTCGCCACCCCTCGTGTCCAATGAAACTCCCCTTTCTTCATGCACTCTGTGATAGGCGCCATAATAGTGCTAAACCCTTTAATAAAACGACGGTAAAACGTAGCTAAGCCGTGAAAGCTCCTGACATTATGAATGGCCTTAGGCTCAGGCCAGTCAATTATGGCCTGAATCTTAGTAGGGTCAGCAGACACCCCTGTCGACGATACAATAAACCCCAGAAAAACTACGCTATTGGTGAAAAAGGAACATTTCTTGACATTAGCATACAGGTTAGTCTCGCGAAGGGTAGAGCAAACTTGTTTGAGGTGGTCACGGTGTTGCTCCTTAGTTTTACTATAGATGAGGATATCATCAAAGTAGACAACAAGAAATTTACCCATGAACGGCCGAAGAGTTTGTGTCATTACTCGCGTGAAGGTACTCGGAGCATTACTTAGCCCAAAAGGCATGACCAGCCATTCATAAAGGCCATCTTTTGTCTTAAACGCGGTCTTCCACTCGTCCCCTGGGCAAATTCTAATTTGATGGTACCCACTCTTTAGATCGATCTTTGAAAAGATTGTCGCGCCAACCATCATATCTAGCATATCATCAAGCCTGGGAATGGGAAAACGATACTTCACCGTGATCCTATTGATAGCGCGACTATCCACACACATTTTCCAAGATCCATCCTTTTTGGGCGTCAATAGGGCGGGGACAGCACATGGGCTTAAACTCTCACGAATGAATCCTTTGTTGAGAAGGTCATCCACTTGCCTTTGGAGCTCAGCGTGCTCGATAGGATTCATCGTATAATGTGGCAAATTTGGAAGGGATGCACTGGGGACGAAATTTATGGCATGTTGAATATCTCTTAGCTGAGGTAGATGATCAGGTAGGTCCTCCGGAAAGACATCTCGAAACTCCTGAAGGATCGATTGGACTTCCGCAGTATCCTCACTTGTGGAGTTAGATGAAACCTCCATGACTACTAAGCCGAACACAATTGAGTCACCAACAATTGTACGCTCAAACTCTGTAGGACTAATGATATGCAACCCCTTTTGTTCCACACTTTTCTTCGCTTCTAGTGAGCTAGCCGGCTTTGGGGGTAGTGGGTTAAGGTGAATCTTCTTTCCATTAAACACGAAGGAGCAGGAATTGGATCGACCATATATGGTTACATCTAGGTCAAAGAGCCAAGGTCGTCCTAAGATGATGTGCCCGACGTCCATCGAAATAACGTCACACCATATATGGTTCTTATACTCCAGGAACTGGATAGGGACTAAACAACGCTCCTTAACAGCTATAGACGAGGTGTCAACCCAAGAGACACTATAAGGTTGGGGGTGAGGAACTGGCTTCAACCCTAGACGGGATATAGTAGCCTTCGAAACCGCATTAATATAGCTGCCACTATCCACGATAACTTTACAGCCCTCGTTATTAATCTTGATGTAGGTGTGGAAGATGGCATGACGGCGCCAATCGTCGGCATCCTTCGGCTGGGTGAGGGTGCAACGGACGACACCGACTCTGGGTGTATGTGGGATAATGGGACTAGCCTGAATACAACCTAAGAAGGTATCCTCACTGTCCTCCAAGTCTTCGAACTCTTCTAACTTAGACTCATAAACCTGATCCTCTAGTGGTTCGACGACTATATCCTCACGTTCGTCCAGAACTAGGGCTCGGCTAGGGCACTTAGAAGCAATGTGACCAAAACCCTTATAGTTGAAGCATTGCAAACGGGAGGATGTCCTTGAAACCTCAGAACCTCTACCTTTGCTATCCGATGCAGGGGTAGTATTAGAGGGAGGAGGACCTAGAATAGACTTAGGGGATGGCGTGGATGCAGATGAGGTTGTAGTGCGGGAGTCACTACGATTTCTATACGGTGTCCTAGTCACTAATTCATAATCCCGAACGAAAGAGTAGGCGTGGTCGAGAGTGGTGACACCCCTAAGGACAAGCTCGCGCCTAAGTTCGTCTCTTAAACCTTGCCTAAACCTACTCAAAGTCATAACTTCATCCTCAACAACCTGACATTTCATTCAAAACTCATCAAACTGAGCAACATATTCGGTCACAGGTCGATTGCCTTGTGTAAGTGCGTTCCATTGATCCAGCAAGTTACCCCTATAAGATTGGGGTAAATATTTTTCTTGAAGGCGGCGCTTCATTTCATCCCAACTCCCAACAGGGAGAGCATGACGCCTTTCAAGGAGGTCCTCAACACTCTTCCAAAAGAGTTGAGCAGTGCCAGTTAACTTCAAACTGGCAAGTTGTACCCTCCGATCTTCCGGGACCCCATACCATGCAAAGAAGCGATCCATATCTCTAACCCATTGATTGAATGCACTAGGATCTAGACAACCGTCAAACGTAGGGGCATCCAACTTAATGTTTCGAAAGAGGCGCTCCTCGTGGCGAGGGGGAGATTGTGTACCATGACGGTAATACCCCCGCTCTCGTTCCCGAGCCTAATTCCCTTCCCTACGACCATGTCGGGCGTGGTGTCGACCACCTTGTGGGCGACGATGAGGCCTATTAATGGAAGCCTCAGAGTTCTCAGCCTCGGTCGAATATGGGATTGGGTCAAGAGTATTCAACCTAGCGGTTAGGGCGCTATTCTCTTCACGAGTAGCGGCTACCTCAGTTTGGACAGCTGTTAGTTGATTTTGTAATTGTGCAAGCTGTCTGGTGAGGGCCTTAATTTGGGCGGGGTCCATGGTAAGGTTACTAGAGTTAGAGGCAGTAACGCAACCACTACGCAATTGCATACACGGTAACACGACTACGTAAAGTGCACTATTGAGATCAATAATCAACAATCAACTAGTGCCAACCGAAGAATTAGTTATTGAAATTATTATTTATTTATTTATTTATTTTTTTTTTGTTATTTTGTCAATTTAAAGGTTGGGATTACTTATGGCTCGATCGCAAACTAATACTACTAATGCTAATAAAATAGAAAAGCAAATGTCCAAATACTAGGTCTAGTCACGTGGGGTAAACGATTGAGTAATGGAATTTAGTTCGTGAAATATAATCGAATAGGTTTAAGGCAGTATTATCAAAGGGCTAGTACAGATCAATGGAATTTAGTTCGTGAAATACAATCAAATAGGTTGAAGGCAATATTATCAAATGGTCAGCACACAACGAATTAATTGATGCAATTCTAAAATAAAGAAATAGCGTCAACTAAAAGTAAATAGGACTAGGAACTCCCTGAGTACCGTTGGTTTGAGTCGTCCCAGCGTCGAATGTCTCCACGTTCTGAACTACTAAGCCCTGAGATGCCAAGATAGGAAATTCCGTGCTCGTCGAGGTGCGGTACTGAACAGTCAACTAAAATGGACCTGTAAATGATGTCAGAAAAATTAAAATTCACGATACTTTTTTTTTTTTTTTGCTCTTTCTTTTCTTTTTTTTTTTGACTTTTTTTTTCTCTTTTTTTTAATAATAATACAAAATCAGAATAACAAAATAATAAATGAGCCCATTTCACAAATTTGGGCCTAAATTACAATCAAAATCTCAATCAAGCCCAATCCCAATTGATAACTAATAACCCAACCCACTTAATTATTAAACCAGTTAACCCAAAATCCAATTGATAACTAATACCAACCCACTTAATTAATAAATTAATTAATTAATAATCCAATTAACCCAACCCAATAACTAAGAACCCAACCACTTAACTAATAACCCAATTAACCCCATACTTCATTAGAACAAGTCGCGGCTGAAAGTTGTCGAAACCGGCGACTGGACTGGCCGACGAGGAACGTCTCAACGACGTTGGGCTTGGCCGACGATTACTGGAACAATCGGCAGTTTGCTGGCGGCGAGGCTGGGGTTCCGTTTAGAGGAGATGAAAATTGGATGGTTTGGTCGGGTTTGAGGCGATGAATGGAGGCTGTAGTGTTCGGGTGTTGAAGATGATAGGAGTGGGTTTGGATTTTCAGCATAGTTGGGGTTTTCTGTATTGTTGGGTTGATTGCGTAGTTGGGTTTACTGGATGGTTTGGTCGGCTTGCAGGGTGAAAGAAACCACTTTGCTGTCTGTAAAGTTGGTTTGGAGGCGAGGGATACTGTATTATTGTTTTCAGCAGTTGGGCAGCAACGGAGTCTGTATATTGATGGTGCGTGAATTGCTGTCCAGGGTTTGCTCTCATACCAATTTGATGTAGTATAAATAACAAAGAAAGAAGAAGGGGGAAGAGAGGAACCGGGGAAGAACACAGAGAGGAGAAACGGGGTTGTAGCCAAACTTTTATTCAATCAAATTCATCATCCCAAAATTACAAACCAAGATAGGTTTAAATAATAAAAACCTAGAAATATAGGGTCAAGCCCATTATTTAAGTCCTAACTAAAATACGTAAACTTAAATAAAAGTCCAACTGAAATAATAATAAAAATCCAACTAAAATACTGAAACAATAATAAAAGTCCAACTATAATGATGTCCTCATCACCAGGTCCCTCATAGCACAGGAGATCCTAGCATTCGACCCAGGAGATTCAGGGACGGTTATAACCCGTTTGGTTCAACCCACAACGCAAATCCAGGATGAATTTCTAGCTCGTTGGGGGCATTTGGTACCTTCTTTTCAGCCACAAATGTAAGACAGCTCCACCTGTAGTTCTCCATTTACTGGAATGGATTTGGTGCTGCCAATGGAGAACAGTTTGATACACAGTAGTTCGGGTTGGGTTCTTTGGCGTGCTTGGCTATGGCAGCTGCACCAAATAATGTGAACTCAGTCTAGTATATTATGGCCAATCTACAGAAGCAGAATCTTAGGAACTCGTCCGACACTGCAAATTCTTGGGCATATTGCGTAAGTTTCTTTCCAAATCGACATCTGGGTGAACGAAATTGAGTATTGCATTGTCTTCCATGTAATGAATCTAGACTGGAATTAAACGCCACTAGTGCTGAATAGCATTACTCATTTTTGTGTGCATGAATCACTAAATTTTCTTTATTTGATGGCTGCATAATGGTACGTTGAACAGGGAAAGGATTTGAAGCACAATACTGGCATAGATTATATTGAAGCAGTAATAAATAATAATACAGAGGATAATATGTAAATCTGGAAATAAAATAACCACCTCCCCTCTCTAGTCCCACCCTGCCAAACAAAAGAAAAATGAGTACACTACAGATGTCTGTCAACGATGCTCGACGTTGAACCAGAAAATGAGGGAAGCACGAGTACACATGACTCTAACTCGCTGCAGCGAGAGAGTTCCACTGGTCAAAACAGCTTTTGCACCTCCTTCAATTCTTGTACGTGAAACAGAAACACAGTCGCCACAATTCTTAAGCACAGATGAGACTACAGAGCTAGATGCAGTGGTCACAATTGCATGCGAGAGATGGTCCAATGGATTTGACTCACACTGAAGAATGCACCCGTCAATGGTCAACCTCCCACTCCTATGAAGCAGGCAACAACCGAGCTCTGCCCTCACCGTCAAGTTAGCCAGCTTGCATGTTGACAAGAACTCCAACGCACTGCTCAAGCAACAAGGAATGGTGCATTCAACAATGCAATGAAAAAATTCCAGGTGAGTGTTTAAGACCCCACTCCAAACTGCTGGATAACATTTTTTCATGGTGGATGGGTTGAAGCAAATTACACTCTCTACGTATACATAAACTAGTGTGTGTGTGTATGTATATATATATGACCGTGGGTGTTCGAGCCAACTTATGCGCATCTCGACTAATCCCACGGGCCTTAAAATTTATAGCTAGGTACTCACCTTAATAACCCTAAGGGGACTCAAACTGGTGACCATCGGGGAAGTAAACCCAAGGCTTAACCACCGAGCTACCCTTCAGGGTTAAATAGATTAATAATATTTGAAGCACCTATTAAAAAATCTAGCATTGAACAATTATAAAGCATTATCTTTTCATAAGATCTTATTAAAGGTGACAAATTTCAACTGGAAACCCCTCGGTTGGAGGGAAAAGAGAGCAAAGTTCGTGAGATTTTATTTAGAACCAAGCAGAACCAAAAGAGAGCAATTTAATCTGTCAAACAACCAGCTTGGAGATGGACATTCATTTTCTTTAAGAACAATAATTCCTCCAGAATCACCATTGAGGACAGGTAAATTGGGCAAACCTGTCAGAGCCACGGGAGCAGATGAGTGTTGTATCATCAGGAAGCTCACCCGAACCGATCTGGTAAGGTAAACAGTAGGAAAGGAAAAGAATAATATTTATTATCTAAAAATACTTTCCCCTCGTATAGTATGATCTTGATTTTGACGGCAATACAAACTGTAAGAGCTAACATTGAGATATTCAAACAATATTTACTCCTCTCACATGAGAATAAAAATACAAAAAAGGACAGAGAAAATAATAATTGGAAAAAACATCTATTTTATCGCATAATCGATGAAGCTAGAAACTTTAACTGCCACGGTAAAGAAGGATCATCATAAAACACAGAGAGGATAAGAGCGAGAAGATTAAAAACACCAGGAATATGAACTTAGCCAAATTTTCTGCATCTATTATTACATTTCATTCCATGGGTTTAAAATGAGTGATGAGACTTGCCTCAAGGCGCACCATAGTCTAAGGCGATCAAAAATAGTACTCAGGTGCAAACATTTAAGCGGGAGAATGAGATTTTCGCCTTTAGTGATTGAGACTTAAGCCTCGAGACGCATGCCTAAAAAAGGACTGAGGCTTGCACCTCTCCTTAATTATCTTGAGAACCGATTCTTCTTTAAAGTACTCATCTTTCATTGTTTGACTTCACTGTAAATCCAATATATATTAGAATAGCATTGGAAATCTACTAAGAATAAAACTTACCAAATTTCATGGACTATTAGCCATAAATTATCTTTGGAAATCCATTATGCCCATTTTGCGGATTTTAAATCAACAATTAATTTTAACAACACAATTCATGGGATCACATCTTTTTAACCACACATTTTAACAATTTTTATCAAAATCTACAAAAAATCAGATTTCCTACTATATCAGGCTTATACCAAACAGGGGTTATATTTCAAACCTTTATCAATTCTTTGATTGTATCTTAATATGCCATTGGATAAATATACATTATAAGTTCAAACACACAACACACATAAACTGAACAGATAAAGCATGTAAAACAAACACTACAGCTGCATCATTACAGCAAATGCTCATCAATCTGGCAACGGCGACACCACTCTGGTAAAAACTCGTTTTGCCTTGAAAGTTTAAGTTGTTCTACTGGTTTGGGAATTTTATATATTATATGGTTATTTATGTATTTTTGTACTTTTTTGGGTTCAGTACTCGATCTTGCCTTTTCAATTTCACCAACTTAACTAACTTAAAACATGGAAGAGAAAGCTAGAAAATGAACATCAGCTTCTGCGTGCTGAAACAACAAATATTATAAACTATCTAGATAACACCATTTCTCTTCCTCCCACAAGAAGAGAAAATGACCAGCATGACTATATGACGGCTTTTAGTAATATGTCAAATTGTAGAGTTGACAAAGTTGCAGCTCCTGGGTTTAAAGTGTACTCCTAACTAATCAGTGAGAGACATGAAGCATGGAGATATTAACTAGTGTTTTTTTCCATGTAAATAGAGACCAAATGCTAGCATTAACAGTGTTACTAAATGACTACTCAGGAAGAGAACCTAGAAATTACCAGGCAAAGAGGCTTCTTGATCTGAATGTTGGAAGCGCGATGAATTCCTCCTGCTGAAATCAGTATAGTGTCTCCAGGCCTGCAAAGCATTGAGACACAAACGTTCAACTTTGAGTGACCAACATAATACCCAGAATTATGTACGAGCAAGTACTTCTTCACTGCTGTTATTTTTTAGTGAAAACAAAAAACTTCACTGACCTGGCAGCAGAGACAGCTGCCTCAATGCTGGGGTAAACCCCTGGCTCAGAGTGATCTTTGATGGAACGATCTACTCGCAGCCAAAGTCGAGGATGACATGCTAGAAAACGCCATCTGTTGCAAACGAGGGCGGTGTTATACCGATCTGCAAACTCAACAGCACTTTGTGATAGATACCATAACATGTTGCAATAATTGTGCATCTTGGTTAGCAAATGTACACTTTATTCAGATATTAAGCAGATAACATGCAGCCTTCTCTTATTTGTTTTTAACTTGAACAATTTTAGAATTATCAATAATGAGTTTCAATGACTTATTGAAAAACCAATATGAGCTATTGCAAGAAGTACACACATTGCTTGTGTCCGAAGCTTCGGCTGAAAGTTGAATTTGCTTCTAGTTTCAGCTATGTGATCAACAAGGATTAACAGGTAATGATCAGTTTATCATGACACAAAGTGGAGTGGATCACTATTTTAATTTGAAACACTTGAAATTATTGTTGCAGTGCAAAATTCAATGGCATTCATGATATCACTGTTTCTCAAAATTATGGGACTATTTGACATATAATCTATATGGTCCAATGATATTTTATCCTTTTTTTCCCACTCTTCCCATTCAATTCAAATCGGAATAGGTTGTTCAATACGGTTTCTTATTAAGTCCCCATTTGGTACCCATTTTTTTCAAAATGTATTTTTCTCTCTTTATTTCAACCACACATTCTTTGTTAAAATAATATTACACGTAAATAAAAAACTTTTCCTTATTTTTCAACCACACATTTTTCATCAATTTACTATTCAAAAATGCATTTTTACATAAAAATATCTTCCAAACACCCTCTAAATCCAGATGTTACTAGAACATAGTTGAGTATTTCAGTGGAAAAGAAGGTACTAGAATAATCTCAAATAATCAATTACCTCAACTACAAAAAAAGGTACGATTTTCATCAACTTTTGAGTTCTCCAACTTCTAGAGGGAGTGTAACACGTTATATAAAATAGAAAATGGTGACTAAAGATTCTATTGTGATTTTATTGAGCTAATTAATTGAAAGAGATATTAGTGATCATAAATATTAAGCATGCTAAGGGCTACAGACTAGCCAAATAATACCCTTGATTTTTTATTTTAATATTACATGAAAGAATCACCAAATTTATTAAACTAAAAATAAAAAAATAAAAAAACATTAAAATAATATTACACGTAAATAAAAAACTTTTCCTTATTTTTCAACCACACATTTTCCATCAATTTACTATTTAAAAATGCATTTTTACATAAAAATATCTTCCAAACACCCTCTAAATCCAGATGTTACTAGAACATATTTGAGTATTTCAGTGGAAAAGAAGGTACTAGAATAATCTCAAATAATCAATTACCTCAACTACAAAAAAAGGTACGATTTTCATCAACTTTTGAGTTCTCCAACTTCTAGAGGAAGTGTAACACGTTATATAAAATAGAAAATGGTGACTAAAGATTCTATAGTGATTTTATTGAGCTAATTAATTGAAAGAGATATTAGTGATCATAAATATTAAGCATGCTAAGGGCTACAGACTAGCCAAATAATACCCTTGATTTTTTATTTTAATATTACATGAAAGAATCACCAAATTTATTAAACTAAAAATAAAAAAATAAAAAAACAAAGCCTATCCACAATAATTTTGAGGTTGCCAACATGAATTCATTTTTGTCACTTCATCCAGTCCATTGGCATATCTACAAAGATTCTATCAACCGATAACTATGGTTAGTATCTCAACTCTAATTAGCCCATGTCTGACCCCCATTTTTCCAAAAACTCATTTTTTCAAAATTCATTTTCAATCACACATTTTCCATAAAATAATATTATATGTAAACCCAAAAATTTTCCTTAATTTTTTACCACATTCTCCAACAAAATACTATTCGAAAATGTATTTAGGAAAAAAAGGGGGCTCAAACAAAGGCTTAGATCGACTTTTGAATACGCTTCACCACAAGATGTCGTGGTTGCATAATCATGGTCCTCAAAGTGATTCTAGGTGCCTCTATTTCTTGATCTCATTCTTAATTGAAGCTTTCTTCAAAGACAAAAGTTCAAATTTCAGAAGAAACGGGAATAAAAATGAAGGGAAAAAATAAAAAATAAAAAAGCAAGTGGCCCATGACTCACTCAGCAATATCTCCATTCTGATATCAATAATCAGATAAACGCATTTCAACTTATATAACTTCAGCTATGAATGTTTGTCCAATCACAAATAGATCATCAATTATTCAAGTAGAATTGTTAAGAACAAGCAATTGATAAATTCACCGTTAAAGCAAGACTCCAGTTGCTTCACAAAATCATTTTACATATCTAACAGTATCAACTATGAAACCTTAACTAACTACATCAGGTTGCACCAAGCCACCCACCCACTTGCTGTTTATTCATCAAGAAAATTTTGAACTGAAACAATTGCAAAATTGCATTTGTACTATGTATTCAAGATATATTTTCTTCCATCCAATTCATAAACTAATTCTCCCAGAAAATGGAGGTTCAGAAATTGATCAAGAAAACACAATTACCATAAATTAGGTTACGAAATCTAATATCTCAAGATATGTACATCCAAAGAAATTTTATGTAAACGCTTCAACTCCCTAGGCGGCAAACTTAGGGCCGTTTGGCATGGCTTTTGAAAATCCAAAAGGAGCTTTTGAACCTGTTTGGCTAATTTTAAGAAAGTGCTGTTTTGGTTAGAATAGCTTTCACAGGAAGCTGGTTCGACGTAACTCCCTCTATAAGTCTCGAAATAGGAAACTTTTTTATAAATTAGTTTTCAAACAAAAATTAAGGTAACTTCCTCCAAAAACACATTTAAAAGAAGCAGAAGCAGTAGCAGAAGCAAAAACAAAAATCATGCCAAACAGGCCCTTAGTCCATTTCAAAGTCTTTATAGCAATTACAAACTGGAATCAAAAGTAGGCTATGAACATAGTTGCAAGTTATTATAAAGAGGCTCCTTTACATCAATAATTAATTAACAAACATGGGCCTTTCAAGAATTAATCAAATCAAATTGGGTTTCCAAAAGATTTAAATGTAAAATATAGAATACACGATCAAGCATTTTCTCCATATGCAAGAAAAAAAAAGTACGAATCATAAAAATGACAAGGTCTTCAAATCCAAAATATTCGTGTAATTAATACACGAGTTTCAAAAAATCGAACTAAAAATCCTTAATTTGGCTCAACAACAGTCGATTATTATGTTTCGAATACTATAGAAATGTGGAAAGAAATTTGAATACCTGGAATAGGGTTTAGGAAGCTGAAGATATGCATGAGACAGCCATCATCGATATTGTTTATGCTAGAATTAATTGAATTTTCTGAGTATTTCGCTAATTTCTTCCATTTGGGTTCATGGACCTCCATTCAATTTGGATTTTACTCGCAAAGTGTTATTTGTGAAACTATTTTTCATTTCCACCCTATATATCTAGAAATCTACTGTAGAGTTTCTCTATTTTCCCTACAGCCCTTTCTTTTGGTAAACATGTATTTTGAAATAGTAATTTTTCGGACAATGTATAATTATAAAGTAAGAAAAAAATTTATATTTATTTTTAATATTATTTTATTAAATAATGTGTAATTGAAAAGAAAATATATATATATTTTTGATAAAAAAAAAATGGGGCTCAAACAAGGACATAAGGTCATACATCAAAATGCACTAAAAAAATGATGCAAAATATCTAGCTTCAAACTTTGCACCAAAATGGTGCAAAGCCGATTTTGCCATTTGTTTTTATTTTTCAAACAAATTGATTAAGAATATTGGTATCTTTGTATTATATATTTTTTAATACAATAAATTGTTAGTAATAGTTACTGAATTAATTAAAATATGAATATAAAAAATTTAAAATAACAAACATAATCATTTAAAATTAACGCTGAATATATTACAACAATCATGTACATACACTACTCTAGTATTATTTAAAGAAAATAATATATAAAACAAGTATGTAACTTAGTAAATTGGTAGATTGCAACACTATTTCGACTTCGTAATATTATAATATTGAAATTCGAAATGCATTGTACTATTTTTTAATGGCAAAATTTATTATTTTCATTTCTTAGTGTTTCTATTAACTGTACTATTTTCTTAAAAAAAATTATTAATGAATTTAATATTTTTGTTAATTTATTGTAATTATTTATTTAGTAATTTTTGTAGTTGTAAAATAAATAATAAATAATTTTTCAAATTGTTAAGATAAAAAAATGAAGAAAACAATTAAACACTCATTTGGTGTAATTTTTATAGTGTTCTAAAAGACATTGCGTGACGATGCATGGAAATGAAGTTATGAGCTAGGCGAGACATAAGCGTAATAATATTATTTTAATTTTTAAGCAATCAGAAGATTATTTAATAATAAAAAATAATACCTTCCAATCATCTAAAACATATTTATGGAAATTGTATGCATTTTTTCAAAGTTTCCAATAAAAAAAATAAGTTTCAAATATAAATACTAATTAGTAAATAAATATGAATTTTTGGGAGTTTTCCTTCGTTCAAGGCTTGAAGCGGCTGTTATGAATTTAGAACAAGCGAAAAAAACAAATCAACTTTTAAGTTTTAATTCAAAAGAATTGTAAACATATTTAAAAAAAAAAAAAAAACTTAAAAAAAGCGCGCATTAGTGATCAACGCAAGTAACCACTTGGCTGGGAGTTTCTATTGCGCATCGCTCTTAGGCGCCGCCTAAATGCGCCTTTTTAAAAAACTAAATATTTAGTATAATGGTTGAGGATGATTTTTAGCTTAGTACAAGATTTAGCGTAAAATGGTACAAAACTTACCTCAAATTTTAGTGTAGGATTGGAGATGACTTTAGGCTTTGGGTACATGGAACGACGTAAATTTGATCCACCTTGATACCCTGAAACCCATTAAACAAGTTTTTTAAAGGTTTTTGACTCAAATTTTAATAAATTTTGTTAGATTTTCGAAGTTTAATAAATTTCATGGATTTGAATAAAATTTCTCCAAATACAGAAAAGTTTAATATAATTATATATAATAAATTTTAATTACAATTTTCTTTTACGAAGGGATTCTTTCAAAAAGAGTGTTGATTTGGGAGTAGACCAACAGGTCGTCTCCTTTAGCATAGGAAGCTCCTCATGAGAATCGAATCACGAAGATTCGAATTGGGACGAGGGGTACTAGGCTTGTTTCATAAAAATAGGAATCAGAAACTTGTGAATAAGGAGGGTCAAAAATCACCTTAAAATAAATAATTTAGCTCTTGTTTGAACTTCATTATTTGGCAAAAAAAAAAAAAATGCATTCTTAAATAGTGTTTTGATATCATTTCAATAACATATTTTTCAATAAAATAATATTACACAAAAATTTAAAACTACACATTTTCCTTCAATACTATTTAAAAATGCATTTATTTCCCAAAACGAGGCTCAAACCTTAAATTACTAAATCATGAGATTGCAGTGGTGGAGAAAATGGTTCGCGAAACGAGTTTAATAAATCTAATTCAAGCTCATTACCACTTTTGACTTATTTTCGAACTATATTTTCCAATCGTGAGATATGTTCTTGATATCATTATGAAGAATCCATGACTGCCTATGCAAATGCATATAATGAAATGAAAACCATCAAGTAGTTGACTAAAATAGTTAGTCAAAGATGGCTACTAAAAAAGTTTAATAATTCTATTTTGTTCTAACCAACTCTGACATCAACCAAAGTAAAATTCAAGTAAAATTCTGTTGGATATTGGTTAAATAAATCGAGAATTGAAAATCGATTAAAGTGACTTCGTATCGACTTCGACCAAATACTCAAAAGCTCGACTCAATCCGTTTAAGCAAAATTGTTTGCCATTTCGCCGCTTCGGGGCGCACAAACGGGGATCGACCTGCCCGGTCAGGTCGCGAGGGTCGAGGGGGCAGCGCCCCTCGTGGGGGGTCGGGGGCAACGCCCCCGAAAGAGAATTTTGATTTCTCTGCATGTATTGAAGGGTATATTTGGCATTTCGAAAACCAATATCAGATGAATGAGAAATTACAAAAAAGGACGAAAATCAATGAATAGACACCTTCTCAAAAGGTGGTGCATTGTTTGGAAAGGGTGCATGGTTTGGCCCCAACCATTTCGTCCACACCCTTTCATGGTTTATAAATAGGATCCTTTGGGTGTCCTATTCCTCACAGTTTGATATGCAAAACGTCTCTCATCCTCTCTTCTATCCAAAATCAAAATCATTCATTTATTTTGATTTTCTTTCATTTCATCCTTGGAGTACATAAGCCTAAATTTGATTCGTTGTACTTGTGTTTTGGAGTGCTACAAACACAAGTGTAGCCGTTGTATCTTGGGAGTCGATTGCCGAAATCCGTAGGCACCGTAGCGGGGCAAATTCGACTTAAGGACAAAGAGTCCAACTCTTGCCTCGGCTTTGTCCCTATCTTTATACTTATTTTTGGCGTTTCTATTCACAAAATTCTTCCAACAAATTCTATTTGACGTCGATTGAGATTTGTCTACTTTAAATAATTGAGACTCATCCTCAAAGTCCTCTTTCATAAAAATTGAGTCTCCCAACTAATTGAGCCAACAATCAAAACTTTCACGATAAAAGACCACGTTAATTTGTTGATCTCTCCATCTTCTAGCCTATTCCCTAAATCAATGTAGTGTGTTATCCTTTCTAGCGTCGCTGCAAATTCATTTTAATAAATTTATTTCTTCTACGTGGTCTTATACAAGTTTTATCTTTTAAAGGACCAACCTTGATTACCATAAAAGCATCTATTGCTTAATAATCCTTGTGTAAAACTTGTCCTATGCGTTATTAGAAAATTAATTTTAGTTAATTTATTAATTGATGGAATCTTTTTCCATAAATTAAATTTTATTGAAATGAAATTATTTAAATTTTGGGTTTTAGAATATTGGGTTTAGGCTACCACTTCAGTTGTCTATAAGTTGGACCCAACTCTGTTGTCATGTTGAGAGATCATTAAATGTTAAAAAGTGGCAGAGTAACACTAACAACCCAGTTAAGATGTGTACGATGACGGCAGATGAAATTTACCTTAAAACTTGAGAACTCACAACTTCAGCGAGTACAAAACACAATCTTATACATGCATGTGAACTTTCTAATTTGTTAATCCCATATTAACTCCATCGACATTATTCTCTCCTTACCCATCAAATAGTCCCTTCTTCACTCACGGTAGAAGAGATGAAAAGGGTAAATGGCACAAAGCAACGGCATGAATGGCGATGTAGCGCCTTGCAAGAGAATCTAGACTTAGGCAGTTTCCCATCATGCTGGAAAATGATGCAATTGCAAGGTAGGGTCAAGTTATGAAGGTTACTTAGAGCGGTGGAGGTGCCATTTCCCATAATGCTGGAAAATGATTTGTCACTTGATATTTGCTATGCACTTGGATGGAGGGATGTTTCAGCAGCTTCTGATCTGGATTTTAAGAGCCTTGTTCTCCTCCTTGAGCTGTGAGAAAATTCAACTAGTTAATCTCAAGTCTAAGCCAACAGGCCAGGCGAACTTAAAAGCAGCTTGAAGAAAAATAATTTCACTAGAATTGTGCCTTACAAAGGTTAATACACACGACATTGCCAGTCTACATGGATCCATTAAATTTTATTTTATTTTTTATTCTAATTCAAATAAAACCCCATTACACGGCTAAAAAAAATGTTACTTCCAACGCATGAAGGCACTCGTATTTAAAATACTGACTATCTAGCATTTGAGCTTCCAATCAAATGAAAAGTTGAATTGGAATTCCCTCTTGGAACATAATGGAATATGTTGATTTCAATCAAAAGACGAAACTCAGATAAAAAGATAAGAGTTGGCACCCATCAATCTTTTTCTGTTCTTCCTCTTTCTAACATGCTATAAGCTATAAGGCCATTTCAACTTTTCAATTTTTTATTAATTTATTTTTTTGTGTCACATTCTGCTTCCCACAGATTCTATAGAGGCAATCAGGCAAATAAAAGGATTTGAAAATTTGTAGACGTTACCTTCTCAACAGTTGCAATTAGCTCTTCCACGGCTTTCTGCAGTGATGAAATTGTTCTGGATGTCACATCCTCGTAAGCTGCTTCCACTTCGTCCAAAGAGTTGGGATCAAAGAAAATTCCCTCTAAAACAAATAGCTGCTCCAGCAGTTCCACATCTTCAGCTTTTATTTTCCGTCTCAACTTTATTAAAAAGGAAATTTTGCTCAGATATAGACAGATGAAGCTACAGGTTAATTTATGCAACGTGAATCAAACCTTCTCTAATATTCTCTCACAAGACTCGTTTTTAATCACTGGGAGGGCTCCAGGACTCTTGGTGTCTTCATCTTCTTTGAGACTGACATGTGCCAATGCCTTTATATGCTTTGCCCTGCTCAAAGGATGAACAATGTAATTCGACATTATCATTCTGGAACAGAATCATAATGAGAATTTATGCCAATAATGAAGTGCAAAAATGTTGCTGTTTGTATTATTGGGCATAGCTTTATTGTGTGACCGATTCTGAGTCTAAACTACATATATGGCATATGGAGCTTACTCAAAGGCAAGTTTTACACATCCAAGTTTAAACCAATGATGTAATCTAGATGATTCTGTTTTTCTGATAATCATTTTAGCCCTTATTTGAGCCACATTATTTCCATAAGAACGCATTTTTGAATGGTGTATTGATGGGAAATGTATAGTTAAAAATAAGGAAAAATTTTGGATTTGCGTGTAATATTCTTTTATTGAAAAATGTGTGCTTGAAATAATGTTAAATCACTGTTTAAGAATGTCTTTTTTTGAAAGAATGTACATCAAACAGGACCTATATCATTCAGCGGGATGCCTAGAAAATGATTCTGAGTTTCTTCTAGAAACATGACTAGAATTGAGAACGACAAAGGAATTACAAGTTCTTGAGCATTCCCTTTGTGATGTCACTCAAAATATGTTGATATACAACATCACCTTCTTCATGACCAAAATACTAATACAAAGAGATCTCATAATAGAAACAGCAAGCCTCAAAAGAATTGCATACCTTGCACCAAACCTAAGAGTGGAAAGGCTCTCTGATGCATTTGAGGGACTAGGCGAGGAGCAACAGAGCAAGGAAGTCTGGGAGTTGCCTCCCTGTAAACTGGAAGTTAAGTTGATCCAGATAATTGTCGAAGTAGACAATGACATGGGGATCAAGAAAAGAAACTAACCAAAGCATCTTGCAGGATCCGAGTAAGCTTAGAATCACGATAAGGAATATGATTTGCTCTCCCTTGTGGACTACCAGTTAATGCATTTATTACATTCCCTAGAGCTGAAAGGGATTTGTTGATGGTTTTGGCTTCTTCGAGGACTCTACCTTCAGCTCCAGTCTTCTCTACTTTCTCAGATCCTGCTAAGTCTACGAGAATTACCTTTCCAGACCTGCACAAGGATTTCAATTGTTTAAAAAGCTCAATAGATTGCTCAAAACAACTAGATTGAGAAATACCTTTTCTCCTTCTTTAGTTCCTTCTGGATGGTGAATATATATACACAATGACTTCTACTACTTGCCATATTCATTTCTGTATAAGTTAAATATTACAAGTAAAATTCTAAAACCGATCAAAATGAAAGCCAGGACAGAAGTTTCAGATAACTTCTTCTACAATTAAAAAGGGAACCAATGTAATATGTATACAAGCTAAATAAAAAAAGGATAGAAGGATACGGGTTTCTCCCACTGCTCTGTTTGCTATTCCAATCTGCATTATGAAGAACTATATCGGCAACTGAACTATATTAACACGACTTGTAGACAATGATGGGAACTTTATTCTTACAGACAGACTTCGCAATGCCTCAGCAGAATCTGATATGCAAATCTGGAAAGTAAAAAAGTCAAATCTGTTGAAATTTCGAATTGAGGGTAAAGTCAATAGAAGTAAAGTAAAAAATTACATCGGAGAATGAACTGAGTCATTTTCCAACATCCAAATTATATAAAAACAGACTCAAACTTGACAAAATATACTTCCAGTAGAGAAAACAGAACTAAAACTGAATTTATAGCACAAATGATGTAGAATCAATAAGAAAGAAGAGGCAGAATACCAAAGTAGAATGAGAGAAGAAGAAGAGAATGAGCACTTAAGGAAGAAAAGGGAGAGAAAGGGGGAAAGCAGGGGGGAAATTGGGCACAACAAGCCAAGGATAATTTCATTCATCAACTGATCCTTCAATCCAAATTACAATCATAAATAACAAAATAATAAACTTGGGCTTGGGCCAACCCATATACAAGCCCAATGCAACATAAAGTCTAAATTAAATAAATAGAAGGTAAAAGGCCCAACAAATGGCCTGATGAGAATGATGTCCGCATCAATTCTCCCGGGGTGAGAGAAAAAAAACTCGACCCTGTCGAGTAAGGAGATCACAAAAAGGCTGCTATCAATCTCCCAGCCACAAACTGAGTGGTTGAGCAAACTTCTGTCAACGTCTATAGAGACGTAAGGGCGGTTGTCCGGGCAAGGGATGATCTTGTTGACTCCTACAATGCTCCAACAAATCAGGATCAAACTGCTGAAGTGTCTCTTTGTAGATCCAAGAACAATCAGAGTCAGGACGGCCCTTCCAATGAACAAGGAAGCGTTAAATGTCTCCATCCCTGATTAATATGGTCTGTGCATCTAGAATAGTATCAATTTTATCTTTATGCATTGCAACAGGTGGAATCGGGGCAGGGATAACATGTTCAGGATCGGGGTCCACAGATGGAGTTGTGAAAGGATCATCAGCGGGGTGAAATTGGCCTTTGTAAGCAACTAAGTCCTCAACATTAAAAGTAGGGTGGTAGCCAAAATGTGAGGGTAAGTCAATAATATACGCATTTGGACCAACACGCTTTAAAATTTTAAAAGGACTAGCACTACAAGCTTGTAATTTGGAAGCAGGTCCAGATGGACGTTGCTCCGGTCTAATTCGAATCATCACATAATCTCCAACATTAAATTCAACATGGCGTTTGTGTAAATCAGCTCGAAGTTTATATAATGTATTACTTGCTTCCAGCTGTTTATTGGTCTCAATATGTACCTATCGACCGATTCACTGAACTGTTATATGCAAGTTGGGCAGTAGGAAGAATTAAGTCCCAATTCCTAAGATTTTCCTGGACTAGACACCTTAATAGATTACCAAGAATGCGGTTAACAACTTCAGTTTGACCGTCCGTTTGTGGGTGATATGCAGTAGAGAATTTCAGTTTAGTGCCAATTATACCCCATAGGGTTCGCCAAAAATGGCTAGTGAAACGAACATCTTTATCCGAGACAATGGTCTTAGGGAGGCCATACAACTTGATGATCTCAAGAAAGTAGAACTTAGCAACCTTAGGTGTATCGAAATTCTTGTTACAGGGAATAAAGTGTGCCATTTTCGAGAAGCGATCTACAACAGCAAAAATGGAGCCGTGTTTCTTTGGAGTGCGTGGCAACCCTAGCACAAAATCCATACTAACGGGATGGGGAGAGGTGTGTGTTCTGCCTCTTTTACTTAGAACGCTGACAGGTGTTGCATGTGCCAACAATTTTGGCCACGTCTATCTTTAAACTGGGCTAATAGAATTGACGTTCAATCTACTCTATCGTCTTATCACGCCCAAAATGTCTAGCCAACCCGCCAGCATGACTTTCCCACACTAAAAAGTCTTGCACTGAAGTCCTCGGAATGCACAACTTATTGGATCGAAAAAGATAAACCCCTTCCAAACGGAAACCATCAGTGGTGTCCAACTCCCCATTTTGCAAAGCAAGAAAAATGTCTTTGAAATCGGGCCATGACTCGTACTCTTCCTTAAGCCTTTCAAACTATATGACCTTAACACTCATGACGGACAACAAAGAGATGTGACGGCTTAAAACGTCAGCAGCTCGATTTTTAGCACCCTTTTTATGCTTTAAGACAAGAGAATAGACCTGCAAATATTCGATCCAGTGGCTATGCCTAGAATTCAATCGCCTCTAGGAATTAAGGAAACGAAGGGCCTCATGGTCCGAAAAGAGAACAAATTCGTGGGGTAATAAGTAATGACGTCAATAGCGCAAGGCTTGTACAATTGCATATAATTCCTTATCATAAGTCGAGTATCGTCGCTTGGCGTCATTTAATTTCTCACTAAAATAAGCAATAGG